ATGGCTGACCAAAAGATGGGAATGTTTGCTCTACTACCACTTTCACAATCAGGAATAAAACTGTGAAAGCTTCTGTCAAGCTTCTGTGCAATCTGTAAAAGGTCAGTTTTCCTTAATCTGATTGCTTTGCAGATCTCCTGCATGTCTCCTGTGTCAAACTCCTTGAGCTTGTCTTCTGATTGTGAGGAGAAAGACAAGATTGTAACATTCATCCAGTCCATTTTCAGGGCTCACTTAGCACGTACAGCACTGCTTGAGGAGAGGTAAGTGAAAGGTAGTTTTGCAATGTGCAGCAGCAAAATTGTTTTTATTACAGGAGAGGGGTCATGTTTTATAGGAGGTTGGTGTGGATTCCTTGGCAGAGAAGGAGAACAAGGCCATTGTTCCAACAAAGAGAAGGGAGAGCTTAGTTGTGAGAAAATGCAAAGGATATGCAACTAAAAGGGTTTCTTGTTGCAGCAGTAGTCTTCCCATATCCTGTTGCATGTTCTTTTCCATAAGGATGAGGAAATGAAAGTAAAATAATTACTCTGGAAAGAAAATTTACAGTTGTTATCAAACTGATGGCTAGTACACTTGTTTAATATAAGTGAATCTGAAACTCTGACATATAAAAGCTAAGGGTTATGTGGAGGAATTACAGGGAAGAGCTAGAATACGGTCTTGCGTACAGTCTAGTGACTTAGCTCGGGAAGAATTCAGTGATTTGCTTACTGCTTAGGCTTATGGTGACTCTGTTGAAAAAAAAAAAAACAAAACTTCCTTTCTCTCCAGGGTTTACTGCTCCAAAAGTCTTTAATATTGGCTGCCATGGTTACCAGGAGAGTTGCATAGTTGTCACCTCACTTTGGTGTCTGAGTTCACTCCTACAGGCTCTTGGGGGCTAGCAGCGCAAGAAACTTTTCTGCATACCCTCTGAAGTCAGACTGCGGTTCCTGTTCCATGCCTCACGCTGTGCAGTATGTCTTTTTGCAGGCCCCCTGTGTCCAGTGCACCAAGTGAGAAAGCAGATTCTGCAGTTTACATTACAGAGAAGAAACCGGTCTCAGCAGCACTCCAGAGACCTCCTTCAAACCTCATGTCATCTCTTCCTGGTAATCTCATTTCCCTCTGTGTTCAGAAGTATGTCAGTTTTGTGTGGGTGCACACACAATTTTATAGAGGACATCTGCACACGCACACACACATGCAAATGCGTGCTTGTACTTTGTGTGTTGTCTTTTATTTGATGATGTGTTGCTTATACTGGCAAGTGCAGTCCCTTAAATAAAAAAATAAAAGCTTTGACAGTATCAGTACCAGCTTCCCCACAGTGCTTTGCCTATCTGTCACAGCTGTGGTTTGGAAGGTCTCTCTTTCGTGTAAGTGGTAATTATTCAAGGAACATGGTGTTCCCCTGTGTTGCCTCTCCACTTCCCTTTCAGTCCCCCCAGCCCTGTAGCTGTGGTACGGTACTTTCCACTATGTTTTGGGCCCAAAGCCATAGAGAAGCCGAGAGCATTTTCACCGTCCTGACTTAGTTTCTGAAGGGGACAGACATCTGGTAAAAAGAACCATCTTTGTCAGCCATGTGTGTTTAGTCACGTTTTTTCAGCAGTCTTCCGTTGCTGCAGTAAGGGGAAAAATGAAGTCCTGGATAACCTTGCCAACTCGTACTGTTATAATACAAACTGGGAAAATGTCTGTCTCTTTTTATGGCGCTTATGCCATTTGGTTTCCCTCTTGAATTCTTCATTGCTGCTTGCAAAAAGAGGAGTTAAAGCCAAAGAGGCTTTTAAGAGGGTGTTACAAGTACTGAGCAGGAAAGGCAAAACAATGATGCAGATAAGACAGCCTTAGACATGCATCTTCAAAGGAGTTAAAAACAAACTGAAAAAGGTTGGTTCTATGCAGAGTGGGATATTTTAGGCTTTTATGGACCAGCTGGAGAAAAAAAGAGCAACTTTGAGGGTGACCTGAGAAAGATTGGCTTGTTTTTTGTCAGTGAAAAGCTGACAGTCTCTGCAGACTTGCTCAGAAACAGAGCATGCTGTAAGCAGCTGAGGCTGTTTCTCTAAGATATGAGATGGGGAATAAACCAGATTTGCAAGGGTTGTGAATACAAAAGTTACCCTTCAGTGAAGGAAAATGTGTATGAGAAATGTTACTGTATTCCATGTTCAGAAGAGTATTCTATTTTGTGAAGGAGTAGGTAGTAAATGTTTCTGAAGATTTTAGTTATGTCTGGTGACAGTATCCAGAAAAAAATGTTGCAGCATCCTGTTTTGCCTGGGCTCTACTGCAGTAGTCATTATTGGTATGCTCAGTCTAAATCCAGAGTAAATCAGTTGTGAAATTCTACACAAAGAGAAAGGATCGCTTTAAAAAAAAATGCTTTGTGCTTCTGAAGAAGTGCTTCTAAGACTTAAAGAAGGATGTAAGACGAAGCTAAGTCTGGTAAATGCAATAGTATGAATACTAATAGAGCACAGTCACTGTCTAGCTATGAAGTCTCCAAAGCTAACTTTTATTGCAGCTTATCATGACAAAGTGATGAGTGAAGAAGTTCTGGGAGAATTTGTATCAGAAGGCATAGAGAGGTAGACCATAAGCATTCCAGTTTTCTTCCTTGTGGTCCTTTTCTGCTGAATATCAAAAAGGAGAGATTGGGAGCAAAGCTGACTATGTTTGCTGCTGATCTTACAAATATGGGAGAGGTTTTCAAAATCTGGGTTGAAGATAGGATGTATCTAGGTAGCTTGTGAAGAGGCATACTGGATACGTGCTTCTGTAACTGCGCAGCTGCCTGAAAAATTGTCCTGCACTAAGTAGCTCTATGAAGTATTAGCTCTTGGTGCGTTGGAGGGTTTAACCAAAAGACAAATCGGGGGAGAAAAACCTACTAAAGGCAGAGCATTCTCTTGTGAAGGTCACCTCTATGAAGAAATGTGACTCCCTGGCAATCTGGTTATAGCAGGTTTTTTGCCACTTGAATTCATGTAGCTTAAACAGGTTAAAGTTAACTCAAAGTCCAACATCTGTCATTCCTAGCTCATCACTGATGTAAAAATCCACTAGCAAAATTGGTTTTTTATTTAATGTATTTCACTGGTCATCCTGCAGCTTGGAAAGTACAAGAGACAAGGAGCTTGTTTAACAGCTGAGTGATTTAAAGCAATCAAATTCCTTTAGCTTTAAATCATGCAGCTGTTGAACAAGCTCTTGCTTCATTTGTCCCAAGTCTAAACTTGCATTTTGTGACCTCCTAAACTTTCAGTGAAAGTATATATTGCAGTAAGTCATTTAATTTCACTAGCCTTTCAGCGTTATTTTGAGAGGAATGGGAGAGATTAGAATGTGTTTTAAAGAGTCTTATGTATCTTCTAGAACAAATTTATATAATCCTGATCTAGCATTGCAGACTTTTAATTCATTGTTTGCATCAGGTTAGGTGTCTCTGTGGTTTTTTTAAAAAAAAAAAAAACCACAAGTGGTGTAGCATTCAGCGCTGCTTTGCTTCTCTCCAGAATGTGGACAGTACTTGGGAGATTTGTAAAGCCATTTCTGCTGCTTCCCATGAAATGGAACAGATAATAATAATTCAGTCTGTGAAACTTAGCATTTTGTTTCTTTCTGTCAGGGGAGTGGAAGAAGGAAGAATATGTTCTGTACATGCACAGCAATCTTGAATAAGGGCATCCTTTCTCTCTGCTTATCACTGGCTGTGCTGGATACAACTGTTAATTTGAGGCTTTTTTGAAATCGTAATGAATTTACATACAACCCTGAACTAATCAGTGCTTACCCCTTCACAAGCACAAAGACAAAGTTGTCAGTCTGAAGCATATTAAACTGAAGATGAGGACAAGAAAATCTCAGACATCAAAAGCAGGATATAATCAAGAGTGATACGGACAATATTAAGCTATTTCATGTATAATATCTGTTTATTGTTGGAGTTGCATCTTCTAGTTATCCTGCCTGCTTCTGGAAGTTCTCTTTGCTCATCCTTATCACCAGTATTACTGGCTCATAAATCTTCCTGAAAAACTCTTGCATTATTTGTTGACTGATGCAGAGAAGAATTTCGCTTAACTAGAAAGTCAGATGTTTCTTTGCTTCTGTAGGTTGAGGTCAACATGATGGCCTCCCTACATTCCTCCTTGCCATTCACAGGCTTTCTGTCTGTCATGCTTTTTTTATTTCTGGGCTGGTTACGGTCCCTTTTCTTTATTCCACATTCCAGTTGCTGGGTATGCCTCCTCTTCCATACCAGGAGGTTTTTTTCCTGTGTCAGCCACCTCTTATTTCACTATGAGACCCATGGCACGTCTGTTCTTCTCCTCAAGTAATATTCTCTGTGCCCCCTCCGTTTTCCCTCCCATTTCAATGTCAAAATCTCAGTGTGTGGCTTCTTACTTGTCTTATTTCCTCTTTCTACCACAGGTCTTCTTGATTTGCTCTCTTATCTGGGAGATAGTCTTTTCAGAGAATTGATATTTGAAACTGAAAAATAAGTGGAGCTGAGGGGAGAATATTGTTCTAGGAGGTATTAATAGCTGAGGGGAGGATATCGTGCTAGAAGGTATTAATAGTTCATCATTTAGTTCATAGATCTCTTGCAGAGGGGATACAGGCTGCTGGTTCTGCTCATCACATCTTACAGGCCTTGCATGTATCCATTTTACCCATCTGATTTTCCTGTAGTTACTGGAATCATTAGGGTTCTATCTGTTCATGCTCTGAACATTTCTTCAAATGTTGGAATCTGAGATGCATAGAACCATGCATTCAGAAAAATAGCAAAGCAGCAAAAGAAAAAAAAAAACCAACCAAAACCATGGTGTGGTCACCATTTTTATTGTCATTAAGTAAGGTAGTACAGCATGTGAATAATATTTTGTATTTTACAGGTATAAGGATGAAAGACAGTCACTGAGAGCTTCCATCCTTTTTTTTTTCCCCCCCATCACTGATTTCCCCTTTCTCTGACTGAAGTTCTCATTGTGACCTTTCTGCTTAGTTTAAGCTTGCTTGGGTCAATTTTTCCTTTTCTGGCCATCTAATTAAATATTTATCTTTACGACCTGAGATGGCTTCGGTATCAAATTGCTTTACTTTGTGGTGTGTAACCACTTGCAAAGATTTAAAGACAATAAGACAAATCATGCGTGGTCAGTATGTCAACTTAACGCTTGCCACGTGTGCTCTTTCATTAAAGAGGAACGGCAATAGTTATATGCAGAAAAAGATAGATCAGAGTTATTCATAACTGTAGGTAATTCTGGAAGCTTAATGGCTCAGAGAATATTACACTTCCCACAAGGGCTTGTTTTTTGTCAATGTTGTTTATTGATGACCTTGTTTCCTTTGTAATTATTTCAGCCAGGTCTGCTGAGAAGCAATCTACTCTCCCTCTGTCTGTGGATGAAGCTCACTCAGATGATTCAGATGATATTGTCATCATCTCTCCGTTGTTGCAGATGAAGAAAAACTATACAGGCTTTTAAGTTTTGGTAACAGGCTTTGGTGATCTTCAATTATTCAACTCACAAAACTATTTCTACCAAGATAAAGCATATCAAAGATGAAAAAAGGGGGAATATCAGGCCCTTATTAATGACAGTTGTCATTATTTCAGCCACAAATGAGTAATCGTTGGATATGTCATCTCTGCAGACTGTGTGGCTAAAATCCACTGACTGACTGTTAACCTTATCCTCCTGGTGTGCAGAGAGAGTTTCACTTCAATATTTTGTCTCACAATGAGGATTATAAATTCAATTGCCAAATTTAAATGAAAGCAATAAAGCCTTAAGCTATTTCATATCAAACAAAGTTTTGTTTCAGGTCGGCTAAAATAACTTGTTTAATTGGAAAATAGTTAATGACATGGCTCCAATTTTCAGCCTGTGTACGTGAAGGGGAACAGCTGTATGTGTTACCAGGCCCTCTCTACTTAAAAATTTTACTGTGTCATATTTGAATATGTTTTTTACTTTTATACTGAACATTTACAGTCTGTGCAGACCTTGTAAAGGCTTTTAGAAAGCCATTTCTTTGTCATAGGGCTATTCTAGGCCTACTGTATCAGCAGGGTTTTCTTATTTATTGCTTTTTCCAAGTGTGCTTGCTATGATATGTATAGTACCGTTTTGTATTTGAAATGTCCAGTCACGTAATCAGGTTTTTGTATTTGTCGGAGAAGGTGCATAATAGCAGGAGTGGTCTGTGAAGGATGTCCTTGTGACTGCTTTTTCTGCTTGCGTATCACAAATACGAGTAGATTATGCAGGGTCATCTCTAATATGTGAAAACACGTGACGTAGGAGATCTGTTGCTTTACGTCCTGTTTTAGCTTACGTCACTTGACTGTCCAAAACTTTGACCTAGCTAGATTGCTCATGCACTGAGCACTAAGGGGTTTTAAGTCTAATGTTGCTTTGCTGTTGTTGATTTCTCTTCTCAGTACTAATTTGCATGTGCACATATATGTGTGTGTGTGTGTATATATGTCTCTCTCTATAACGGAGCTGGGCACTACCTGCTCTGTTGTGAGGGCTATGGACTGGGATGAGCATAATATACAAAACCTAACCCATGCAGTTTGGATTAGGAACAGAAGTGGTAAGGTTGGATTATAATAGAAATTAAGACTACATCCAGAAATAACACTATTTGACAATATTGTTGTCCATGGAAGGACAAAAGACGTAATGGGCCCCCCCTTGGGGGTCTTTTCCAGATCTATGCAGACTGTACCCCTTCTTGACTGGAAGGAGGACCGTATAGTTCCTGCTGTCATGCCAACATCCTTCATAGGCATTACAATGTGTGTGGGGGGGTTGTTTTGTTGTTGGTTTTTTGTTGGTTTTTTTTTTTTTAAGGTGAACTAGATAAATTATATATTTACTGGAAGAAGAATTTAATTTTACAAACACACAGTGAAGTTTTTGTGGAGACCCTAATGGTTTCTTTGTCATCAAGGAGTAATAAAGACTCCTGTAAACAGAAAGCACGCGTTTAAATATAAGATTTTTATCACATTTTCCCTCTTCTTTTTTAAATTAAAAATCAGTCGCCACTGTTTCACAGAATACTAATAAGTCAGAGCTGTCTCGGTTCTTTGATTTCAATGAAGCACTATCTGAGGCTTATCACAGTTCATGCCAGTGCTTGCAGCCAAAGAGGAAACTGGATGGCTGCAGCACAATGCAGCTGATTTCATTTAATCCCATCAGTGGAAATGCTGCCTGTGCTATTTCCAAAGGCAGTTTTGGGAGCTCTCCATACCCAAAGCAGTCTGAAGAATGTCATTTACACTCCCAATGGATAAATTTTTCCTGCTGGTACTTTGGTCACGTGACTGTCATCTGCAGAAAGGATAAAAAAAAATACATAAAAGAATAAAAGGGATAGAATACTCTTGGCAGAAGCTGAGACCTGTTTCCCTCTTTTTTTTTTTTTTTTTTTTTTTTTTTTCTGGAAGTCATGTTACAAAAAAGAGTCGCTTTGCTAAATAGCAGCAGAGCTATATTGAGTTGCTTATGTATAATATTTCAAGTCGGTAACTGTGACTCTGTCATGGATACCTCCAGAGAGAGTAATGAGAGCTGGGGACTCTGACACATTAAGGTGAGAGTATGTAGCATGTCAGGACCAGGAGTGATATAAAATACCTACCTGGCTGTTATCCTATAGGGAAATACTTGGACAACAGATGGAATGAAGGTGACGTTCTTTACTGTGCTATAATAACCAATATGAAAGTATTGGGAAGTAGATACAGAGCAGGAAGACTTGCATTTTAACTGGGCGTTTGACTAGCAGTAGTGCTGTCAATAGAGAAGCTCTGGGATAAAGGGGAGGAGAAATCTTGGTATGACCCAAAGGCACAGACAGAAACCAGGGTGAAAAGGAGCAAACGTTTTCTGGGATGAATGAAAATGTGTCTAGAGCTTCCTAAATTGGAGTCTGCTTTCTCATAGCCATGAAAAATCTGATACTTAACTTGAGCTGGACTTCAAACTCACATCTTAGTTTGGAAGATAGCTGTATGCTCACTGCACATCAAAAGTTTGGTGTGGTACGGTAGAAAGAGGAATCTCCGCAGCATCAGTAGCCTTTAGTGTTTCATCATATGCTGTAATGGAATGTGTCGAAAGGAGTAGTAACTGACACTAGGGTTTGTTCTGTGGTGTCTGAATGCCAGCACCTGTAAATCTGGGAAGAACTGTGGAACAATGAAGGAAGAAAAAGTTAATTTTTGAATAAATGGTTTTTTCCTTAACAGGGAGCTGAAGACAGTAAACATACTCAGTTTCTGAAAAATGTCTTCTGTAGAAAGCACTGATAACCTTGTGGGGGCGTCAAGGTCTTGAATTAAAATTAAACTCCACTGTAACCTATGTAATCTAACAGCACACTTTCCGTTCTGCTGATGCTGGATAACGTTGCCGACTTAGAACATTCTGCGATTTACAGTGGTGTTTAGTTAGAGATTGTGTGCGAACACAGAGATCTGGCTTCCATGGGATGTGCTCTCTCTTGATCTCTTTTTGCCCTTAAGTGCCTATGCCCGTAAATCTTTCCTGAGGCATCAAAACCTGACAACTGTATTGTTTTCTGCACGGCTACAATAATCCCTGCACAGGCAACTTCTGATGTGGTCGAAATGGAAAACGATTAATCTCAGCATATGAGCGTGCCGTTCATTTTTATGATCTTTTTAATATTTAGAACTGTGCAAGTGTTTGATGTAATTTATTTTGGGATCTTTTAAAAGCTAAAGCGATTGCAATGTATTTTCTCGTAATTGTTGAACTTTCAAATAAAGTTGATGCTTGTGAAGTAACTGTTCGTGCATTGCTGTTGCAGTTTGGGTATTTGCATTGCTCCTCTGGCCTCTGTGGCATGCTCCTGTTGTTTCCGCTTTGCACCTAGGTTGGCCTTTACTTCTGGCTGTTTTCCTGAGACGATAGTAACAAGATAACTCTTAAACATGTGAAACTTCTTCTTTAGTACACGGTCAGGCTTATCCTGTCAGGAGTGAGTGGTGGTCTTGACCAAAGCCCAGTGGAATTGAAGGAGGTGATGGGCTTTTGCTTTCAGTCTTGGCTTTTGGTGTTTCATCCGAAAAAGAGCTCCTGTCAAGTAGTTCTATAACTAAAAGCCATGCTATTGCCTCAAACGTATGTGGCTTTGTGCAGAGTACAGCACGTTTCATTTATGCCTTTTCATCTATGGCTGTGCTGCTTGCTTGTAGGCTGCAACAGTCATGCTGACCGGTTAGCAAAGCAGTGAAATTCGGATAAAAGATTCAACAGAAGTCATTGGGGTGACTGCTCATGCCTAAATACATCATTGATGGATCCTTCGACTTTTGTAGGAGGGCTGCAGAGTGGATAACCAGTGTCTGAACTCACTGGGCCCACGGAGCTCTCCCTGTGCCAGGGTTTGGTAGTGCTGTAGGCATGCAGAGCACTGGGTGAAACTGGTCTGCTGACGGCTGGGGGGAGAGCAGGAGTCTGCAGGGTTCCAAAGACTGTCCAAGCTACTGTCCCTCACCTCGGTTATTGTTGCTGTTCATGAAGCTCTGGTGGAAGGAGCTGGGCTGTCTGCGTTCCTTTCCAGGCCTACCAAAAAAGCCTTTAGGGACTCCCAGGAAAAACAAGCCTTACACTGCTCCATGAGGACAGATGACCCCGCTAACCACTGCAAAGCCATGGGATCCTGTAGCCATCTTTCTGTCAAGCAGAGTCCTTGTTGTAGGACTACAACAGCTATAAGCGTGCAAGACTGAAGCAAACAGTGTGTTTGATGAATATATTACCTAAACTTCACTTTCTTGTTCTTTCCTCTCTGTTCCACTGACACGTGCTCAGGATTTCTTAGCAGAAGCTTCAGTTTTAAATCTTACACGCTGGAGGCAAGCCATGCAGCACAAATGCAAAAGTTCTGATATGATTTCTTGGAGCAGACTAATCTTGAATTCAGTTGAAAGCAATTAAGTGTTCACATGAGTTGTGTTGAACCATACTTTGGCTTCATCTGAAATTGGAGTGCCCTTGACTCTTGCAAGCTTTGCGGCATCTGGTTATGGTAGGTTTGTCAGCTAACTAATTGCTTTCCCCACATGAGCTTCTAAGGGAAAAAAAAGTTTCATTCATTCCATGGGCATTATTAAGACCTGCAAAGAGTGAAATATCCGTGTTAGATTCTAGGTTATCAGGGGAGGATTTTCAGGCATGGTTGGTGGTCTGGTGCTGCTGCCTCGCTTCCTCTGACGTTTCCTTCTAACAAGCTTTTGCCGATGTGGTTCCTCGCCTGGTAGAGACAGCACCGACATCAGTTTCTGAACGTTTGCCCTATTTTCCGATGTGTGTAGGCACATTGGCTCTTGCTTGTATGTGGCCTTTAGCGCTCATTCTGTCCTCGCTGTGCTCAAAGGAATAGCCTTGAACAGCGAGTGTTGCTGTGTTCTTACTAACTATACCCTGTTGTAATCTACTGATGAAGTTGTACCCTGCTCCTCTTGCCCCTTCCGCTGTCTGGCTGTCCTAATTACCTTTTGTCCAATCTGAGAGCGTAGGTGTTCGTACATCTTTTCTGGTCTCCAGGAAAGCGTTCATGTTGTTCCCCTTACTGGAGCTGTGTGTAAACAAAACTTCCCCTCTCAAGGTGTTGCTCAGGCTGGGGCAGCTCCCCTTCTGTTTGGTAGGGGGTTTGCTGAGTGCCTCAAAGACACTTTGTGCTGGGTACCGCGCAAGCCCCTTTAGGGCTTTGATTCTCAATAGGCTGAACAGATGCATCATAAAATCTTGATGCCCAAAATGGCCTGGGAAGAACCATGAGGGACATCGTGCCTGTTGTAAAGGGCTGTCCTACCTTGCCATCAGCCAGGGAAAATCACACCCGGATCTCGCTCCTCTGCCCCTCCTCAGTCCATCAGCTCTGCTTCAGTGATGTAACAGAGCTTGAAAGTCTTTCCTCTAACACAAAGTTAGAACTGAAATACTGTAAAAATCTGTAATTTGATTACAGTGCTGCTGTAAAAAAAAAAAAGGCTATGTTTAAATAGCCTCTAGTTATATGCATGGAAAATTAGAATAGCTTTTAATAAACAGGGATTGACCATGAATGCCTGCAGTACAAGTTATAACGTTCTGTGCAAACATTATTTAGCATTGTCATTATCTAGCAATAATCCTTATTTGTTTCTCACACAAATTGTGGCAGAACCTTCTATTTATCTAACCTGGAAGTTTTTTCCTGAACAGGCTCTCTATAATTTACACATAGAACTGGCAGTTTTCTTCCTCCTCTCGGCAGATATTTAATAGCCACGTATTGCATTTCTATGCTAGTAAATCTTCATTATTATACAAATTGTACTAGAATGTTATAAAGAGATATCATAAATAATTAAACAGAAACTATGAGTGACAAAACAAACGAACAAAGTGCACTTTGAGCTGTGTTATTCTTTCCTTTTTATATTCACTTATTTGCTAATTTGCTCAACTTACTGAACTGCAATGGGTCTTGCTGTGATTAGAGAGAATTTGCTGAGTTCCTTTGTAATTGTTTCTTTGCAATTAACTAAATAATAGAATGTTCTGTGTGTTGCTCTCTGGGGGAAGGAAAGGAGTGGGCAGGTGCTTTTGCGATAGGATTTCCCCATCTTCCACCCATTTCCCTGGAACTCACCGAGTATGAAAGGACCGGTAGAACATGAGGGAGAGAGCATATTGCCTCGGGACTGGAAATGACAGAATTAACCTTTTCATATGATTTCTTTAGTTTGCTTAAAGCTGCTTCTGCTGGCCCTGGTTGTAGCTATTCTTTGTTTAAACCCAGAAGTCCCTAGGAGGACTTCAGAGGAAAGCAATGAAGAGCCAAATGTATGTTTCTTTTAGCAGCCGCCTGCACTGAGGGGAAATCCTTTAAGCTGGGAGAAGTCAACTGGGAAGGTCCCTGGCAATGTGGCTTTGCTGGGAAGAGCGTACTGAGCTGTTGTGGAGGGGGCAGCAAAAGCCAGGGGAGGCTGGAGAGCAGCCCTGCTGTTGTTATTTCCTTTGACTTTCAGCAGAAAAATACAGAGGAAGCCCTGGGAGGATAGGGAGGGTGATCTTAATAGAGGCACAGCCTCGCTCAGCGGGAGGGAGGCCCGGCTCGGTGTAAGGGCAGAGTTTATCGAGCGGCAGAGGCGAGCAGGGTGGAAGTTTTCCCTAACAGTGGCAGCTGAGTGCTGAGACATGGTTGTCTCGCTGACCTCCCTCTGACTGTCCGTAATTTAGTCCCTAGTCTCAAGAGGGTAACTCATCCATCTGCTGGCACTTGGAGTTCAATCTTGCCTTTTTTTCTGTTTTTGTTTGTTTTGTTTTTTTTTTTTTTAAATCTGTATCGTTGGCTAAAACTCTTCATAATGCATACTAGGTCTGACAGTCAGGGGAAGACTCCTTGCTTCACAATATATTAAAAGCTGAATTATTTCCTTTCATAGTGAATAAAAAGAGCCAGGGTATGGGATTGCTGTTCTAAAAGGTACTGTCATTGCAAGTATCACATCAGCAGTAGGGATGTCGAGCCAGAGAGAAGCTCTGGTACGCTTCCTAGAAGTGCTTTTGCAGAGTACCTGATGGCCTCAAGGGGACTGGGGACAGCACTGGTTGCCTTATTTTGGGGGTTTAAACTGGCCTTTTTATCTCTGTTGTCTTTAATTTGGAACATTTCTCATTTGCCTGTTTTGTCCAGTGATTCTTCAGCAAAGCCACTGTCAAAACAAGTTTGCCAACGCTAATACGGCTCTTAGGGTTCCTTTTCCGCAGGATAACCAGCTACCAAGCTGACAGTTGCAGTTTGCTTCGGTTGCGTGTAGAACTGCTTTCCATGCAAGGGTGATTTACTGTTAGTTTTTGTTCCTGGGATGTCACAGCAGTGCCTTGTTTGTTCATCTGGCTTTGGCAAAACAGAGCGTACCTATTTGTGTGGGGAGGAAAAAAGGCTGCTCTAAGTTAAACAGGAGAGCCTTGATAACTGTCTTGTTGTCACGTAATCAAGAATTACCTGAATAGGATCAAATGAGAGATGCTAAGACATCTAAGAAATGCAAACACTGCTTCCTGACGTGGTACAACAGGCTGAAGTGCCCTACCATGGGAAGCACGGCTAGTGCTACGTCCTGCGGTTTGTCTCTTCTTCCTAGTTTGCTGTATTAATTTTACTTATAATTTTCATATTTTCCCATATCATTATAAATAATTGTGGGGGAGAAATTAAAACTGTTGATGCCTTTGTTTCTCTGTAATCCCACATCCTCATTCTGCTATAATTTAATCCATTTGTCTCCGCAGCAAATGGCTGAGAGAGAGTCATGCACACCAGCACTGCTGAGCCTGCTCCCTTTCCCACTTACCCCCCGCCTCCCGTATGGCGCCTCAAACAGCCGCGCTGGTGCTCCGGTGCTTACACCCCCATTTAATAGCATCCAGCTTTTTCTGTCATTCGTTCCAAAACGTTTTGTTCGGTTTGATTTACATCAACGCTGTCAACCAAGATCTCAGTGCGGAGCGCTTGCTGCATCTGCTTCTATTCCGTGTCCGTCATTTTGCTGACAAAGGTACTTGGACTTGCAGCCTGGTGGGGTTTTTCTGTCTATCCAGAGGCTTGTGGCAGCAGTAACATCTGCAGGGCAGATTCCAGCCTTGAGCAGTTGAGTGCCAAATTGCATAAACTCTGTGGCAGAAGTGGCTTACACAGAGATCTCTTGCCCACAGCGAGGTCTCTCCGCTCCTTGTCTTCGGGTCGTTTGAACTGGAGGTGAAATATGTCAGATCACTGGGCTTTGAAATAATTCCTTCCTCATCCTTGCTGGCACTGTGAAAGAAAAAAAAGAAGAAAGGAAAAAGGAAGGAAACAAAATTGGCTGTAGTTCAGCTGTTCTCCTGCAGAAAACCAAAAAACTTTTCTTGGAGAAGGCTGGAGTTGAGGTCTTGTATCTTGTACCCTTGTATATCTTGTACTTGTGCACATGCTGCATGGCTGTGGGCTCTCTGACGTGTGTCTTAATGCTGTTTGTGAACGATAAGATTTCTTTTTAGCTATGTTGATAATGCTCATAGGAAAATTCTGCCCTAGTCAAAAGCTATTAAAGTTGATGTTATATTTCAGACCGTCAGCAGAAATGTTTATTTGGTCCTAATGTGTTGAATAGCCCATTTTTGCATTCTTGCTCTCCTTATTTATAAAATGCATCAATGAGGGCAGCGTAAAGTCCTAGCTGCATTTGGGAAAAGTAATAAAATCATACTTGCAAAAGAGATGTCTCTATAATATCTACTGACCTGCCACCATTTAGGAGAAAAAAGCAGTTGGTATTACCCTTATTTTTCCAACTGGATACACAGCACTCCAACATTTTTTGAGTTTTCATGGGCCATAACGACTTCTAATTCTAAACAGCGCTAATTAGATGAGGGCTTCTCAAGCCTGTAAGACCTGTGATCATTTGCTTGAAGTCTGTTAGAAGGCTGGATGGTCCTTTTCCCCCTTCCAATGCCAAGTCGCGCTGAGCGATATGTAAAACACGCTGCTTTCGGCTTGCCAAATCAGCCGTGGGTGAGGTGTGCTGCTGCAGAGCTGGGATGGGGACGCTCCAGTTTGCGTGATGGTACGGGGAGAGCGAAGGCCTAGGAGGGGGTCTGAACGGACTGGCCAAGTCTAGGAACTCCTGCGTTAACGCTGGACCACACTGCATAGTCAAAGCAAGAATGAAATTGTTTGATCTATTCCTTTTAAAAGAAAAGAGCAAATATTTTTATACATTTCAGTTGTAGTAGGAACAGTACAATCTTTGTAATGAAGTGAATGAATCTGGGATTGCTGCTGCTTACTGTTATTACCTTTTCTATTTTACCATGCTATCCTAACGTTATCCAGAGTATTCATGTACTTACCGGTTTCTGACACGTCTCCTGAGAGGGTATGCTCGTATTTTCTACCTTTAACACTAAAAATAGTTTGGTTATGTTCTGTTTAGAAAGAAATGAAAAGCCTTTCCCATCGGGTCAGAGTGTAATCCTTGGGAAGGTTGTGTCTGAGGGGCTGGGCAGGGAGCACAACGCAAGATCTGCTACGTTCTGCACAACTCTTGTGCTACGTAGTAAGATGCTATCGTTGCTTAAATACTTAGATGTTTAATTCATGGTTCTGATTTACATAGTCATCAAAACAAGCTGACAATTCCAAGTCCATTGAAGTTAATGAAGCTTTTGGGTCAGGGTCTGGAAGAGGCCAAACCTTTGCCTGCAGAGAGCATGGTGGAAGCTAAACCAGAGCACTTAATGTCTCCATGAGAGAGGTGAGGATTGGGCACGCTTGAAAAATCACACAAGGGGCCCGTCCACATCTTGAGACACTTTGGTACTTCTAGAAATTTCTCCCTGGCTTTAGGAAAAGCCAAGACAGGCTGGGGAGGCAAACAGGGAGCCAGCACCATGGGAAAAAGTGCGTTGCACAAACTGTGTCGGGTGAAGGCGTTGGTGTCCAAGGCCTGGGAACGGCGCTTTCCTCGGCGGCACCAAAGGAGGTAAGGTGCCAAGCGGTGGGGTCCGCTTTGGGGTTCTTTTGGAGGGAAAGGTGCTGGTATCAGAGACGGGGACATCATCTGATGCCGGCTGTGGGGTGTCCACCCTCTGCAACACTCGACCACGCGCCA